ACAAGCAATGGAGACCCACGGCTTTGGCCAACAATGGCTAAGTCACGGGATTACTCCTACACAACATCACAACAGCCCAATTAACGAAATTCCTACATAAACCAAGCACAAAACACATTTAAAAGGGCTGCCAAATTCATCCCCTATCCCAGCAGATTCGGACAACACAGAGCATCAACTAATGGACAAAACCCAGCCATTAAATGGGTCATTTTAAGCTTGGAAAAGACGGCTACTTACCAGAATTTAGCAAGCAAAACCGAGCCTAGTAAGGGGGGGTGAAGCCGACGGCAGAGAAGAAGAAATTCTGCAGGGGAACTTGCGGCTACCCAAAAATTGGAAGGAACAAAAGCAATTAAACCAAACCCAGCCTAAATCAAAGTTGAAGAGAGGGATTCATGGCTAAATCTTACCAGAAAAGCCCAAAAACCTCACACCCACATAGCAGCCGACGGACAACAGAGGGAGGAAGACGCAGATTTGGGATTTTCTGGGTTCAACAGGTGTTCTAAGACAAGAAAATAGGGAGAAATCCCCAAGCTTTGCCGGATTTCCGGCCAAAAATGGGTGGCGGTGGCTGGGGGGGTTCGTCGGCTGCAGAGGGTCGGGGGAGAGGAAGAGCAGGGCACGCGGGTCTGATGAGGAAGGAAAGAAAGAAGAAAAAAGAAAGAAAAAAGGAAAAGAAAAAAGCAATTCATCCTTATCCTAATTTCCTTTCTTTTTAGTCCCTCGACTTTTAAAAATTTTACGATTAACCCCCAAAACAATATTTTCCCTCAAATAAGTCCCTTATTTAATGCCAAAATACCCCAAAATTTTGGGATATTACAATAGCCATGATTGTTTTATAAACTTTTGCACATCTGGACTAGTAAATTTTTGGTAATTGAAAGCTAGTTATTAACCGAGTTTTTTGATTTAAGTTATGTACATTGGTAATTATGAACACAATAAGTTCTGAGCCTTGTGCATTTGTGGGACCTGTTCATAAGTGCACGGCGTCTATTTCGCTCCTAATTTTGGGGTGTGACACCTTAGTTGCTATAAACTTCCAGCTTAAGATGTTTGGGTGAATTGTCTTGGATTTTGGCAGTCTAACATTGTGTTAGTGTTCTGAACATAACTTCTTCTATAGATGTTGAATTGTGGCAATTTTTGATTCTATAGAACGTTAAGAAATATGGCTATAATATATCTATTGAACATTCAACTCTTTTAGTCATTATCAAAGTGAAAACCCAACTGCTAGATTTGATTCCTGAGGGTGATTGGAATTGACAGGCTATCATTTTCTTAGTGTTCTTATCATAATTTTCTTTATAGATGTTAGATGGAAACAATTCTTGAGGCTATAGAAAGCTAAGAGATAGGATTACAATTTATATGTTGATCATTTAACCAAATGTAGTTGATATCAGGGTGAAATTTCAGTCGCAACATCTAGTTCTAAGTTAGACTAGAATTTGCTTTATTATAGATTGAGTGTAACCTATGTTCTGGTGGGTTCTAGGGGCTGTCTGTGTGGATATTTTGGTAATCTAGAGTCCTTGTCCCGTTTGATTAATTTGTAATTTATGATTACTACATTTAGATTTTTGTTCACCTCATCACCCTAATTCACATGAGATAAGTAAACTTATAATTTTACCCTTAAATAAACAAAATTTTAAAGTATGTTTTTAAGTGTTTTGAGACAGTGGCAGGACAAAATCCCATTTTTATGACTTTTTGGCATGACATGTGCTTGTTTAGATCCATTTATTATGTTAAATACAAGGAAAATAAGATGCTTTGTTGATTTTACTTGAGATATTGCTTAATTTTTGAAAGTGTCATTACCCGTATATTTTTCTTTGATACTTGCTGGAGCCTAAAGTCTAATTTATGATGCATTTAATAACATGTCCGATTTGTCTTCAATTATGTCATGTTTTTTTGTTGAACCTACCGGTGGGAGTAAAAACATTGTGCCGTGTCGACAAGTTTTATTTGTGGTATTAGTACATTTTGATTATTCTGGTTCATTTTACCAGTGGGGGTAAAACGTACTGGTTATTCTTGTACGTATGGTGAATGGGCAGGTGTCATGATGTCATAAATAATGTTATAAAATCTTTTATCTATTATTTTTAAAGTAATAACTCTTACTATAAGAAAATAACAATACTAGAATTAGTTATAAAAACTTAAATTTTAGACATAAATTTAATTTGTTACTAAAAATATAAATTTTTGTAATTAATTTCCCATTACAAAATGTCTATTTTCTTGTAATGTCTCATTCAAATTTCTTTCTTTTACATTGTCTAGTTGAGAGTTTCTCTCTCTAAAAGTTATAGATTATTACTAATTTTAACATCGGAATGTTTATGTCAAGAATACTTCATCGAGTCTTGCAGATATGCAAGTCATTGTGTACTTAAATTTAAATTGTGACTTAGCCCAAATATTTTTTATTTTAACAATACATATTTGCTAATTTAATATTACATTATATCGTACAGTGTACAATATAAAATGATATTGTAGGAAAAGCAATTTTCGAGTAAATATTCTCAAGAAATTGTCTTTCCCTCAAATTACTCCAGCAAGTATTTGGGGTCCATATATATAAATATAATCCTAACCGATCCAACTGTCCCACTATTGCTCTTGCAGATATCATTGGCCCATTACACATATTTCATTAATTTGCCATTTGATTTTATCAGTAAAAATCATCAGTCATCGCACCAAGCCCTTTGGACCAAGTGGCAAAAGCCACCCACGGTGTATTCCCTCCTCCCCAGGCTGGGGTTCGAACCCAGCCTTTGTAAAATCTGTTCAAAAAAAAAAAAAAATCATCAGTCATCACTGTGAATGATATACACATAAATATTAGTGAACAATTGTTGTTATTGTATATCTTATACGTAACAAATTTAGGTGATATGATTATATATAAATAAATATAAAATTTGTAATCATCTCAGTTATTATTAATTAAAATCTTATATTATTTCATATATAATAGGAACAATTAAAAGGGTAAATTACCTTTGTTAACTAAAAAATTTATATTTACCTAGATTTTATTATTTAATTTTAAGTTTAACACTTTTGTTTGGAGTTGTGTTTGTATATATATATGTATATAAATTGAATATTTATTAAGTCTCTTTTTAAATAAATACTAATTATAAATTCTTAATGGCGACCAAATTAAAAAAATAAAAAGATTTTAATAAGCTGACAGTTCGTAAATGCATCTAAATGTTGCCTTTAACTACCCCATGTTCGGGCATCACCAGTGGTGAGTAACCCTTAAAACTGTGTGGAAACCATGATGCATGTGCCCTTATTTACCGGTGCTATCACTATACCTCATCTAGAAATTAGTATCCTAATTAAAGTTATGGTCGACGATAAGTATAAGAAACTAATTATATCACTTACTACTTATTTGGTTTTAGGAAAGGAGGATAAAATTTTCTATTTAGATAATAAAAATTAGCGAGAATGGGAGAAAGGGGAGGAGAAGAACTTTCTTTTATTTTTTCTAATAAGTTTAGTATAACTGAACAAGAAAAAGGGAAGAAAATAAAAAGAATAGAGGGATCTCTCCCTAACCTTTCCCTATGTTTCAAATGGATAATTGCATTAGGCTTGGAGACTATTTAGTTTAATTAGGGGATCGAGGGAGAAGTAGGGAAGGGAACTATATAGTTATCCTTTCATTTTCATTCCCACCCTTCTCCTCTCTTTTCCTCATTGAATATATTAAAATTTACAAAAAAAAAAAAGAAAAAGAAAAAGAAAAAAGAAAGTAAGCAAAGCTTTTCCCTTCTAATTTTTTTTTTTAAAATGATTGATATATCTTCTTGTTCAATATTTTTTTCAATACTTATTTAGTTCAATTATTAAAATATAATATAAATATAATTGATTTAATCGATTACACATACTGTATATGTGGTTGCATTTTTAAACTTGTTTGTCATTAATTTTAAATAAAAAATATTAACTTTTTAATAAATATATTATATAATATATTAAATTAAAAAATATATTAATCAGTGTCTATTTTTTCTATCCAAATAAAAGATCCTCTCCCCCTTATGTTCCCTTTCGTCCCCTCCCATCAAACCAAAAAAACGTTTTCACGCTAAATTTTATTCCGTAAATTTACTTTTTGGCTACAAGTACAAGGTACATGCCATAGTTATACAATAATTATATAATTTTTTTATAGAAATAAAAAAATAATTTTATTATATTATAAAATTTTTTTAAATCTTTAATAAATTTTGAATAAATATCTTATGGGTCTTTTAAAATTTTCATTTAGGTTTGTAAATATATTTATTTTAATTATCATGACCTCAATTTGATTTCTACAAATTTATTCCAAAAGAAAAAAAAAAAAAAAGTAGAGGGAAGTGAAACCACTAACTTCCTTTTCTATATTTCAATTCAATTGATTTGGCAACTTCAATTTTAAATTAAATTAAATTAATATCCTTTGAAATTTCATGAGGAGCATGATATACATAATTCTTTATTAAATTAATTCCTCATATAATAATACTTAATAATACTCTAATTATATCAAACCATTTACTAATTATTCTCAAATTTCACTTCAGTTTCTACATAATAATTTGACCTCTACATGCATATATTATTAAAGTTGAAAGCAACTTATCCAAATATATAATCCAACTTCTACTTCGGTTATATAATATATTTCGCATGGATACACATTCTATTATATACAAAGTGGCACTTTACAAATTGGTTCTTATTTGGGATTAAGGGACTAATAATGAAGAAGTAAAGAATTATAGATAAATGTATTTCCTAATATTGATTAGTAAAATATTAAGAATTATGAATAGTTACAAATTGTAGTATGTATAATTAATATATATCAACTTAATGTTGACCATATAAACTTGGAAGGCCAATTTGAAAAGCAAAAAATAGGTTCTAAACGAATCACCTCAGGACAAGCATGATGTACAAACACCTATAGCAAACATAAAAACAAAGAAAAAATTGTTGTAAGGAATTTACAAATGTTTTGACATTCTCTTTATTAAAAGTCTAAATTATTAAAAAATTCTGAGAATAAAAGCCTTTATAGACTTTCAATATATTTATTAAGATAAAAAATTCAACAATGTTAATATAAATACAACAATGGAGAGGGAGAGCAATTGAGTTAAAAATAGTATATACTAATAAATAAATATATAAGGAGTGACTAAGAAAGAACAATTTTAAAGAAATAAGGATAAGAGGAGAAAAATAGTAACAAATAATTTATTAATATATAGAGAGAAAATAAAGGTTATTGTAGAGTAAATAGATAAATATAATGATAAAATGTAAACGAATAAGCTAAAAAATGAAGTCTCAAAAAAAATTAATGGAATGTGAAGTATAAGTAAGTGAAAAGATACTAAGAGGAAAAAACAAGTGTTAAAAAAAAATATATTTTATAAGGGACAGTGATTGATATATACTTAAATTTAATACACCGCATGACATATTCATTAAAAAATCACTATTTTTTAATATGAAATTAAAAGCAAACAAGTTTAAAGATATAATCATGTG